GAATAGTTCTCGTTTTTCTCGTGCGTATTTCGCGGCTAAATAGTCATTCGAGGTTTGCTACTGTACAAGTAACATTACTTTTGTTCAGTTAATTTAAGGTCTAAATAAGTGAGATTGTTGCTTTATGTTGTAACAAAACTGTCCAATGGCTCAATTATCTATATAATTATGTTGATTGATATTTGTCTTTGGAGATATATATTGTCTTTATTACATGATAAAATACGTTATTATTCATGTATTGCTATTAGAAAATATTGTCGACTTTAAGAAATAAAAAGTAGTAAACCGCCTTTTAACTCGATACTGTCTTTGTTTTTCCTTGTCAAGTATAGCAAATAATTGTTTTATTTTCGGACGAACGTAAGTGAGGGAGAAAATAAAATGTCTTTTTAAACGTTTCTTTGCATATGATAAAAAGAACACCAAAAGTTCATATTTTACTCGTGGCTGCGCCACTCGTGAAATATACCTTTTAGTGCTCACTCGGTGAAATATATTCCGATCTTACACTGAACTTAACAAATATCCTTTATTTATTTCATGCTTTTCAGTGGATTACTTATTACCCGGGAAAATTATATTTGATAATTTCACATAGAAAATTATCAAAATATAATTTCACACTTTTCAATGACGATACTACTTTCGCTATTTGTTTTAGCGATAGCAGTTTTCTTAAAGCACGTTTTACAATGCCAACAAGGCATTCGTTCCAAGGGGCCAACTCCACGATGTATGTCCATTTGATGCCGATATTTGATGTATAATTTTGAACGTCTACGTCTTCCACTGCTGTTTTCCATACTTGCTTGATAAAATCACTTGAAAGTTTGAATTGTTTTGCGTTATCACTTACAAGTTCCACAGGCGTTCCAATTGTAGCTATAAATCTTCTTAAGCACATCAAAAAACTATTGGCTGTCATATCTCGTACAACTTCGAGGTGTACAGCACGAGTTACAAGACATGTAAATAGACACACCCATACTTTTTCTTTTTTAATTTCTTTTATATATAATGGTCCGAGATAATCAAGACCCACTCTAGTAAATGGCGTAGCCTGTGATACGCGTGACTCTGGCAACAGAGCCATTGGTGGAAGCTTATATGGGCCTCCTTCAAATTTGCGACATATTCTGCATTTTTTAATACTTTTCCATCTGAAGCTCTGCCATCAAACCATTCAGCATAATCGAATTTCACCAAGTTAAATTTTCAGATAAAAGCCGCTTAAAACGTGTTGAAAAGTAAATTTATGAATGCAGTTTATTAATGGAGTAACCTACATTGTATATTAAATCAAATTTATCATTTAAATAACGTGAAAATGAAAAATGAGTTGTAGTAATTGTACGTCTTTTCGTCTCGTTTTGATATAAATAGGATTGAAAATTTGCGTGAAAGACACTTTTAAAGCAGCTTAAATAAAATATAGATGTGATTAGAAAGGAATATATACTCAATGACAGTCTGGCATTGTTTTGATAAGTGGAACTGGGAAAAAGAGTAATGAATGTTTGATACATTTATAAATGCACTACAATTATGCCTAACAATATGCAATTGCAAAGAATCTCTCATCGGATGAACCGTCAATAAGTACTTTTTAGTTATGTTCTTGCTGAAAATGCTTTTGTCGGAAATAAAAGAATTCCGTGGTATTTTAAATTTATAAGTTAGAAACATCTGCAGATGTTCTCATTTGGTGTTGATTGTAAAACAAAAGTGACAATTTTATTAAATTACACTATACCACAGGAGAAAAGTTATCAAATCCCTTAGCCTGAACAAGTATTTATAACATATATGTAATATATGTACTGAATAAATAAGCGATTAATGTGTTTGTTTGTCAAAACGGCGACAGAAATCGATAACTTTTGTGAAAGATTGCAAAACATATAATGTATAATATAATATCTTAGTTTCAATGGAAATGAAATGGTGGCAAGTATACGTATTAGAAAAATAATAGTATATATAAAGGGAATGTGTAACCATTCACGTTAATTAACAGCATGTCTTTTCAATATGTCGAGAACAGCAGCTTCAATAACAAAAGGGAACAATCAAAGCAAACGCATGTCAATAATATATGATTCACACATTTAAATATTCAATATGTTTGTAGGGCCTGGTTTTCAGGTATTAATACTATTTCTCTCTTAAGCTTTTATCAGGGGAAAACCTAATATTATTTTCAACATGCTCAATTTACTTTGGTTTGTTATTTGGCCCGAGTGGTGGGTGCTTTTTCCCCAGAAGAAGTAAAACTTATTGACATTCATTGGCATTTTTGTCACATAAAGCTGAATCCTTTTTTGTCCTCAGATCGAAATGTGCAGACATACCTGACACTTTTGACTGTACAGTCAGATACTGTACTTTTAAAACAGGTATGTATGAATGCTTGTAATATGCAACCAGTTTTCAAATTCAGTACCAAGAATAAACATATACGATATAAATACATTGTAAGTGCAGTTTCGTTATTGAATAAAATCTAAATTAACTTGTAAATAGAATGTTATGAACAGATTTTTCTATAATCAACATTGCTAAACGAAAATGGTTGGATATCAGAATAATTTCAAATGCGTAGTAATCTCATTGTGCATATTTAAAATATTCTTGAGATTGGGTTATCTCCTATAAGCAAAAGAAAAATATATGATCGGATCTGTTCATGACATAGTGAAGTACATCATTTCTGATGCCCTCTAGCTTTAGCAATCTTAAATTTTCAAATACTTAAATCAATTATCCTGAATCAATAGAAAAAATATAATAACACCAAACTGAAGTACTTTGCAACTTTTTATAGCTGCAACATAGCATGCGACACCTTCTGGACTGATTAAAAGAATCAGGAAACCAAACACTCAAGTCTGTTAATCCAAGTCAAATAGCTACAATTTGAAATATTTTTGTATTACATCAGTGTGTCTTTATTTGATGACATGTCTAAGTTAATTCATATCAATAACCAAATTCCTAAATCCGTTTAATGTTGACATATTTGATCAAATTTAAAACAATTTATAACACGTGAAAATTTCTCTCATTAATGTGTTCTTCGCATATTGTAATTATTTAGGCAGCTGCAATCTCAGAATGCTATCAATTTCAAATATTCTTTTTCTTGCATACAGATGGAGGATAGAAAACCTACTTATAATTAGCTAACGATTTTTTAAAAAATTATTTATGTTCGTTTTGACTCACAAGTTATTTACCACTAAAATCATCAAAATTTCACATTTTATTAGTGTCAAGCATAAAAGAAGAAGATAAAATGAGATTGAAGCGTTTCAAAAAGTAAATTATTTTGAAGATGATTTTATTCCTAAAGAAAACAGAAAATATATGAATTTTCCAAGATGCAGACTTTAGCACAATATCACATAAAGGGCATGAACTAATTGTTTTTTTCCCTAATAGCTTGCGTCATAATAAAATTGTTTGACGCAAAAGCGGTTATTTTTGTTATATCTAGCCTATAAGTTGTTAAAAATAGTCACAGTATTCTTAAAATAAAAATGTCAACAACAAAGACAACCATTTGTGTACTTATTATATGAACTTAATGATAAGCCTCCTCAAAAATATTGGCAACAAAGTATGAGTGCTTTTAAAACAAGGAATACAAAGGAATAAAGCATATAAAGTTGACGAAGCGTCCTGGTGTTCTTAAAACATGTTCTATAAAAATAATAATTCCTACGTAGGAGGGATAAAAGCCTAATTTAGGAGTCTATAACTCCTACGTAGGACTTAAAAAGCCCTAATAGGAGTTAATAACTTAAAAAGGCCCTACTTAGAACTTTGTAACTCCAACGTAGTACACAAAAAAGCCTAATAAGAAGTTTATCACTCGTACGTAGGAGAGCACTTATCAAGTCCTACGTAGGAGCTATAATCTCCTAATTAGGCTTTTTTATCTCCTACACAGGAGTTATAATTTTTTAAAGAAGATGTTAAATTGGCACCAGGACGCTTCTGTCTGTACTTCTAAATATAAGATGTTTGCATAAACATTAAAAATAAAGAGCCGACTTTTGTAAGTTTTACTTTATAAACTACTACCATTGTATGTATTTAAAAACATCAATTATTATAATGATTTTTTCTTCTTTGAACGATAGGACATTACGATTTAAACATTCTTAAAAATAGATTAACTAAATAAACTAACATTAAAGATCCAATAGAAAAAGTATCGCAAATACTTACAAAGAAACAACAAATGTATTTGTTTATTGGAGAAAGAAAACCACCTACTGCGTAAGCTACAAAATAAATTTGTATAACCGCTGCTAGTTTACGTTTGAAATTCAGTATCGGTTTTAGCTGAGGTAACAATAATATAACAATTAAATAGTCTTACTAAATGTCGTGTTAGAATGGAGACAACAAAATACAAGTTACGGACTAACATATATTACTGAGGATAAATTATGTGATGTACTTGCAAATTAGAGCGATAAATAAGCAGGAATTTGGTCACGAGTATTTGCCTTGTCGTTTTCATATAAAACGGAGAAATTTTCACGTGTTATAAATTGTTTTAAATAAGATCAAATATGACAAAATTAAACGGATTTTAAGAACTTGGTTATTGATATGAATTAACTCAGACATGACATCAAACTAAAGACACACCGATGTAATACAAAAATATTTCAAATTGAAGCTATTTGACTTGGGTGTTTGGTTTACTGAGTAATACATATAATAGGTTGATCTAGTTTGCATAACAATATACAAAACATATCGTACTGTATGATACAAAAGAAAGCAACATCTAACTGGAGTATTACACTTTACAATAATTTACTAGTGTACGAAAAAATAGGTTAAAGTGGTAAATACGTGTCTGTGTTGTCAACATACATTTACATAATGATTCTCATGAAAAATGCGGTGAACAATTGTTTTAAACTTACAGAAATGGATTTTACAGTATAAAATGGATTTAACAATATAAAACGGCTATTCACACGTATGCATTAGATTAACTGTCCGAAGCATGAACATGGATTCTGCAGTGGAACACTTGCTAAAACAATACAACGATTCTATTAAAAGTTATAATATATCTGAAAGTATGTTAAAACAATATGTTATTGCTGAAGACCTCTCAAAGGATATGACTATAACTGTGCTTCCAGTAACATTATTAATTGCCGTGGAAGTTTTGCTTGGAACGCTTGGAAATATATTTATTCTTATAGTTTACTACAAGTGGTATAAGATTTGTAGTTTTCGATGTTTTGTGCTGTATATGGCATTTATTGATCTGACTAGTGCCTTAACGACGCTCCCGGGAGAGATTGTATCCCAGACTAACTGGTACAGTTATCCTTCCAACGCTCTGTGCAAGGCCAAGTCGTTTTTCAACGTATTTACTGTTTGGTCGACAGGACTACTTCTATTTCTGTTATCTTACGATAGATACAGGAAAATATGTTATCCTTTATTACGGCAGATTCCTGTTAGAACATCTGCTAGATTGTGTTTTGCCAGTGTAATGTTCGCTTTATTCATATCGTCCCCTACAGCAGTATTCTGGGGAATCCAGTCATATGATTACAATAAAGGAAATAGTTCAATAAGAGTAAGAATATGTGAAAAAGCAGACTCTTACGCGTATGATTTAGTTCCTTTTGTTTACATGCTATGCGCGTTTGTGACACCAATGTTCTTTATTATGTTAACAACTGCTATATTAAATATATGCACTGGAAAGAATCTACTAATTGGGCTAAGGCAAGAAAATAAATGTACAAATAATGGAGAAAGTCAAACTGCTTTAGAAAAGGACGAAGTGAGTTTTCAATTTTCCACTCATTGCCTTGGAAGTGATGACTCGTTTACTCCTTATACACTTAAACGGAGATTTAGCTTTCCAGCTGGGTTATCAACGATAAGACGAAAACTTCTGTCCGATCATGTAGCGAATTTAAAAAAATCTGGGCGACAGCTTGAAGCGATTCCTGAAAATCATGACGGCCTGGCATCAGCTGAAAAACAAACACAGGCCGAATTGTTATCTAAACGAAGAATTAAATTTCATAGAAGAAACTTTTATTCCGAATCGGATGCAGATTATCCACACAAATCATCAAGGCGTATGAATATGTGGCAAACGAGGTGTTTAAGAAATCGGCTCAGTGTCAGGCGCAGGAAAACATTTATTATGCTCGTCTTATCTGTTGTTTTTATTGTTACAATGTCGTTATACCTCGGACTAGTGTGTACTGTTGCAAACACCGAAGGAGTGTTAAAATCTTTGACAAAACTACAGACAGTTCAGTTTTTCTTTTTCTGGAGACTATATTTCATTAACACACTTATTAATCCAATATTGTATGGTTTTATGGATCAGCGATTTAGAAAAGGTCTTGTGCGATTATTCTGTAGTAGAGCTTTTTATTTACAAAAATACAGTTCTAGCGTCTTCAGTTAAAGTTATGTTCAAACATTAAGTATGCACTTTGCAATAACAGTAGCATTTGTATTCATGACTAAGTTAAATATTATAGAACACAGAGTTTTATAACCATCACAAAAGTGTATTTTTAATTCATACAAAACGATTCAAGGTAGTGAAAAGATGCAACGAATCTGTTTTAATACTCAGAAATTACTATCTCTAATAGAAGACTCTTTATTGTCCTACCAATGGAATAATCAAAGCTCTGAGCTATATTTCTGTTTGAATACTCAGAAATCACCAACTTTAACAGAAGACTTTTTATTGCTCTACAAATGGAATAATCGGAGCTCGGGGCTATATTTCCGAACCAGCATTACTAGGCCTCAAAGTTCAAAGACTGATGTACAAATCCTTGACTTCTTGGATGAATTTCTTCTTATCTGTATGATAACATGTCTGGTACAGAAAAATATTACGTAGGAAACAAGTTTTGTCTTTTTTTTTGAAAAAATCTTTCTATAATTTTTAAAATTTATTTTCTCTTTATATTTTTTTCTTGTAGACGTCAATTATTTGAAGAAAACTATAACTCTTTATTATATACATTATAATTATATTCTTCCTGTTATGTTTTTTTTTTCTTCTCATGATTAACTGACATAAAATGGACAAATTGACGTATAAAGCCCAATTTATATATAATAACGAACATTTCCTGTCTATATCTACATTATGATCGTGTACATTCCAAACATATGTTCATTAAACATGTTAAATACCCGTTGATCTCAGAGAAAATAAGTTTTTCAACGGACATAGCCGACAGCTAATACGACTCAATTATCTACATATCACTCATTTAACAAATGGTTATAATACATTTTTGGCAACCTTTAATCACCTGGCAGCAACGTAACAACATATTCTGTTTGTAATCACATGATGTCTAGAAATATCTAGATTAATATTGTTTATCATGCGGAATGATGTCATTATAAAAAGATTACAATTATATAAACAGAATATAATGAAAGAATTGATTACAGAAAAACAATAACGCACTTCTAGTGTAACGCGTACATTTAGAGCGTCTTTACGCAAATAACGACGACACAATAACTGTTGCGTAATAACATTTTCACGGAGACGCAAAAGTGGGGCGAGTATATGATAATGGTATGATAAACGTTTATATGATTTATCAACAATGCTTTTCCAATTTTTCGTATTGTTATACCATTTTAAATTGATAAACCAATTGGACATACTAGTACTTTAATAATGTATTGGACATACTATTATTTTATTTATTATTTATTTTGTTTGAATTTTCAATCCTATGATGTTTTGTTTTTTGTTGTTTTTTATGATAAAACTTTATTATACAGTGTAATACTTTACTGAATAAATAATAGTTGCTTTACTAATCACTAATTCGCCAAACCTTGAGAATGTTTAGGTGAGAACAAATATAGAGTCAAAATACGTTTTAGAAAAATGAAAATGTTGTGTTTGATAAAAACTCACATATGTCGGGTTGCACTTAATAAACGCCAGGTTCAATTATTGTTCAATATTATAAACACCGTTAAATACAACATACTAGATAAATGAGCAAGACTGACTCCCATAGTTTTTTAGCGGTTGAATTTATAGCGATCGACGATCTTACATGAAACACACCTGAGATGTACATGTATCAGGACAAATAAAGCTTTGAAATTGATTCATGAATACTTCCTTACACGTTCTTACAAAGACAGCTTCACTGGAGACAAATAATCGAATTCTTGCTGCAAATGTCAGTGCTAGTATTGATTTTAATCGATGCAGGCGTGGGCCCGAATGAAACTTAAGAAATAGTGCAATGGAATAAAAAAATTATGATTTATCTTCTTTACTGATACTCTATATCGAAGAAGTTCCTGAATGATGGGTGTTTAGTGATATTCAGTGGAAAAGGTAAATGTATTGAATTAAGAAAATGTGTGACTGTGGACAACATGAATACTCGATATGATAAGAAAGTAAGATACAACAGCAAATAACTATTGTATGAACTATATCGCACGTACCTAAAGTTATTATTTAACAATTCGTCTATACAGTATTATTACAACGTTTCAATGTATATTTAGCAAAGACGTGTATGAACTATACTGCAAATATAGCTATGACTTAACAATGTGTTTTTGTACAAATAATAGAATTACAAGTTCATGAGTCAGAGCATTTAAACAGCATATGAAATATCTCAGGTAAATGCTTTGTTTTCAATAAATTAAGAAAATGTTGGGAGCAAATTTATTTTCACAAATATGTCAATATTGCGTGTTTTCTATCACAATTAAAAGAAACCACACCGCAATGTACATTGTAAAAAAAAAGAAAAGAAACGCCTTTGACGATCACAAAAAGTCATAATTTACGGGAATAACCCTAGCATTGCTATATTCATGTCTTAGAAAAGAACAGTAATGTTATCTTTAAAAGAGGATTATATCACCTATCCTAAATGAAATGTAGCTACGTTATCTCTTAACCTAATCAATTCTCAAACTGCTCTTTTGAAAGCCAAATGCGTCTTAAATGACACTAAATTTAATTGTTTGTATTATTTAAGGTGTTTTAATTACGTAGGGCTGAGTATGTTTATATGATTTTACCTTAGAACACAGTGGTATTATTTTTAATTCAAAACATAGTTTTAAAAGATAAAATCGACCTCAACAGTTGTAATGGTTAGCATATCACGTTGGAATTAGAAAACAGAATGTTTATTGATAAAAAGTGCCTGTAAAATTGTCCGACTTCTTGACATAATTGTTAATCACAACTTTGCTAGAATATTTCGATCGCAGTTCTTTATTACTAAGAAAGCAATAACTCTGTAACATGCGATTCCATATAAGTCGCAGTTTCTTACTTTCTCTCGTCACCGCGTGCAGAAAATCACGCGAAGAAAATTATGTAAAGAAAGTTAGTATTTACGGTTCTCACGTTTATGTACGCAGAAATATATTGTCTAATATACATGTATCTATATAGAACGCATACATATAATTTTATCTAAACCAAATTTTAAGTGACACTATGCCCATCCAAAAGTAAATGGAAAATTCATGTAAAACTAAAATAACTTTACATTTTGTCATATTTGTTTCCAAATTTATAATAAAACCTGAGTAATCTATAACCCACTTATATAACACATAAAATATCTATAAATATCCTTTGGAAATTATCGGTAATTTTCAGGTTATAAAAATAGTGGGCAGTTTTTGTTAATATTTTAGGATTTTTCTTTATTGTATTATAAACATTTGTAATTATTACTTATTTCTCAAACACCAGTAAAATAGTCAATTTTTTGAAGTGTCCAAATAATTGATCTAATCTTGACAGTAAAAATGAGTATTGGGCTTAGAGGTGAATACAGTCAAAACTAAAATAGTTGGGTTTTTTTTTTTGGAATAGAGGACCGGTACTTCCTCATGAACGTTGTTTTAATAATAACGAAGCTTTGGAAGTTGGACGATTTTAATTATTTAGGTGTTTGTTTGTTTGTTTCCTTTTACGCATTTTTCCAACAGTATTTCAGTCATATAGGCGGGTAGTTTCCTAACCATCGTTCCTGGAGAGTTACACCAGTACTAGACTACCTTCCTCCGCGCTAAACGTAATATGTATAGTATTTAATTATCCTGGGTCCTTTGTTCTCCACAACCAATATCTTGTTGGTAAAGCTTTGGTTTATATAGAATTTATTTTAGTTCGATTGTGTAGGAAGCTATAAGCTTATAGACACACTTTCGAATCCGTTCCTGGAATCAACCAGTACTGAACAATGAGTGTAAAGTTTCTTGCTCAAGGAAACAACGACTTGCCCCTGACGGGGTTTGAACCCATGCGGCTAGCGATCATTAGATTACTAGTCCTAGGCCTTAACCACTCGTCCATTGCGTCACTCATCTATCTTACTGGTAAAGCTTTGAAGGCAATGAATGTCTTAATATGTAATATAAATAAGTATGAAAATATCTTCTTCTGTTTCCTTGCAAGTATATGCTGCTTTTGTCAGTTCTATCATATATTATGCTTCTCCAGTCTGGGGATTTACAAAGATATCGCGAGATAACATCTGAAATTTTGTAAGTTATTTCTTGGTGTGAAAACAAGCTCTGGTAATACAGCATTTCATAGTGACCTTGGAAGATATCCGCTTTATGTAAATAGATATGTTAATATACTAAAGTATTGGTTAATGTTGCTTAATTCTAATAATATCATTGTTAAATGTGTGTCTTAAACCGACTTAAAATAAAGTTTCTTGTATCTTGTATCTTGTATAAATACTAAATCCACCCGTCTTAGAATATCTGCGCATAATTTAAGAAAAGAATTTGGTAGATATGGTAAAAACAGACTTGAACGACATGAGCGCACATGTCAGCTTTGTAATACGCAAGAAATTGAAAACGAATTTAATTTTATACAAATGTACTTGTTTGTAATCTGTACCGGGAAATCGGTACTTAATACGTTAAAATACATTGTTATATAATACCTAGTATGTATATAAATTCTTAGAATTACTTCAGTTATGCGAAAAGTCTGTGTTTGTTATTGGTCGGATAAGTTTTTTTATGGTTATTGCAATAATACACCTATTACCTATACCTTTTCTTCTCTGACCTCATAATTAATAGCTAGTGGTCATTTTTTGTAAATGTGCATTGTCAATACCAAATTTCACAAATTTAGAATTATTACTTCTCTCCGTTTGATCATACAATACGAACGCAGTATTCTTCCCATGTTTTTAGTCAGTGGAGGCATAAAATCATTGTTCCACGAAAGGCAATGATGTATTAGTGTAAAAGTAATTTCTTCTACAAATAAAATGAAAATAACCTTAGAAATAATTAGCGAAATACATGCCTTGTACCTCTAGATAAACTGTCCGAGGGTTTCCTTTTACCGGATGTTGTTAAAGTAATTAATTCTTAATCGGAAATATCGGGCATTTACGTTAATCCTTTACTAGCCAATAAAGGACGCGTTTTAGATGTATATGGCATTGTCACTGTAAGTAATTCGTTTGCACTTTTAGTTTTCAACAATACTTTCAATGAATATTCACTTGTCGTACGTTCTGTCTTTTTGAAGGAGGTTCTATAGAACATTGACACTGATGTTATACATGTACAATCAAAGCATCCAGTTTTTTTGTTTGTTTTGGTTTTACGGCGAAACAACAAAATTAAGATCATATGGCGCCGAATCATGAAATATGAGTGTTACAAAACCTCGGGTGTTACAAAACCTCGGGTGTTACAAAGTTAAAACAACGCCTGGGGTTAAAACCACCTTACCTGCTGGAGCTCAAAAAAATGCAAAGACTATATTAATTAAAACCATTTAGTCTCCTCTTGATAAGCGGTGGCTGCAAGTCTGATGCATAAACCCTTAAAGCCCCATTTCCAATCTCGGAAGAAAACGTGTACTTACTACACTGGAGTTCAAAATAGCATGTAAGCAGCCAATGTAACAGCTATAGATTGCACTTTTAAATACACATGTTTAACCATTTTAGATAGGAAAACATTGTAAACA